AAGCTATATTCATTTTCACTCGGCGAGTGATTTCGAGCACGTAGCATGAACGGTGTCTGTTACGAGTTGGAAACAAACTTTCTTAAAAGCAACGTGATGACCGCCCATCATTGGAGGTTTTCAGCTTTATCAGTTAATTATGCTCTCAAATTCTTTTTCTTCTTTTCATTTACACGAAATACACAGAGCAATTTTCTCAGTGCTTTTGATGAAATATCTCTTGCTTATGTAACCGTCTGCTCACCGCAATACGCACACAGTGGGGTATGTCTGCTCTTACCAATTAGATATCGTCGCTTCACGTACGATGAACGATTTTGCACGAACATATACAGCTGCATGCGGGACAGAGGTGAATCTAAAGATTTAAGGTTGCCGATTTGAAATGCTGTGTAAAAGTACTATCGCTTTGCGAACCACCGGAGATATTTTCCTCTTGGATGAAACGACTCAGCCTGTGCAATAACTTCTGTGTGTCCACAAACCACAGGAAACCTGATATTTACACATCGCTGGGTGTGTTTTGTGCAAGTTTAGACCAACATCTTTGGTGACTTTCATTTTAGCAGAAGGGCGCACTCCATTTAGCTTACGGGAAGGTTCTTACTAGTCATGGAGAGCTTTACCGGTGATCTGGTGTTATCAGCGCCGGGCCTCATGCCCCTTGCAGACCTCTCGCCGTTGCTTAAGAGCCCCTTATACTCCTCAGCGGGCGAAAAAAAAACGCGTGAACTGAAGCATTAATAATGACGGCCTGCTCGTAGGTTACACTCCTTTTAAAAATTCACCGCCGTGTCATGTGACCCCTTACCATCTATTACCGCCAATGGTTTCTCCCATTCTTAAATGTCTAGTACCCCAAGGAGACCCCCCCCCCCCCCGAGTTAAATGCTGCAAACAAGAATCTAACTCAAAAATACAGATATGTTTCGATGCATTATACATTATTGGAATTTTCAAATGATATAAAGGCATTATATTACAATTATAGCAAGTAACTCCTACCTCAGGACATCGCTTTACAGAAGTTAAGGTTGTAAACAAAATACTCCCCAAGTGACGACCTCTTTTTCTGATAAACCTTAATTCGATTTCCATCTACACGTATTTATCTTTTACAGATTTATTTTTCAGACGACAAGATTTGGCCGGAGTTTCAACTATTGGAAAGTCTGCCAACTGAAAAACCGAAGATCAATACCCAAAAGCTATTCAAACATTCTTTATTGATCGACCAGTCGTAACGAGATATTTTGATGAGTTTATATAGTAAAATAATAGAAATAACTTATGATATGACTGCAGACTGTGTTTATTGTTCAACATCTTGACTAAAATATATTGATTACGAGTTTTTTCCTCGGTTTCAGTCTTCAGTCCGGTCTCCAAGAAATTCTGTAGTCCAGTCACTGGGTCGTTCTCGAACTTAGTCTCCATGATGGTCTCTCGGCGTTTCCTCCTGAGTCCTTCAGACCAGCGGCGGCGAGCTTTGAACTGAGCTTCACCAAAAGTTTAAGATGACAGATTTTAGCTGACAAAAACTTTGAGCTTTGGACCCATTATCTGCGAGATTTCTTTAGCGTTAACAGGGAGAAACCTGTTACTGAAAGGCCCCCTTACTCCCCTACCAAGATCTTACCGTGTAACTGTTAGGCTGGGTACGAGTCTACATGGCCCTTTTCTTATCTTAGACTCTACTATATCTTTGCAATTCGTGGTCCCGCCTTAAGCCAGGAGCAAGACTAGTTTTTCCCGCATGTGAAAACATTTCGACCATTGCCATTTCTATCCAGCATACAGCAATTATTCTTTACACATGAATTTAGGGTGCATTTCATTCTAGAAAATGAAAACATGGTATTCTCTATTGACTTGTCGAGGAAAAAAATGCTTGCAGACGTCAGAAAATTTCAGTATCATCCAAAGTTAATTCTTGCACTTGAGATTGTGGTTGATGCGGGAGGCTGGCGCCGAGTATGTACCAGGCTCCTCGCGTTCGACCCAGCTTTTCATTTGATAGTGAGCCATTCAGTTCGGTGAGCTATTCAGTACGGTGAGCCATTCAATAGTGACCCATTCAGTTTTGCGGGCCTTTCAATGGTGCGTCATTCAATTTGAAAGTGAACCATTCAGTTTGGTGAGCCATTCACTTTGGTGAGCAATTCAATTTGGAGAGCCAGTCATTTTCGTGAGCCATTCAATTTGGTGGGCCATTCAGTTTCGTGAGCCATTCAGTTTGGTTGGAGTCCAATAGTAAGCCATTTAATTTGGTACTACTAAGTTTAACACAATCCACCCACTATACTAATGATCCACTGGGTGTGAACAACGATTTGAGCAAGTTTCTGATTTAGATTGAATATTTCGTGACAAAATCCACTGAGATCTAATGACCCACTGGGTGTGTACAATGATATTTTCTCCGATTGCATTAAACCACGAGATGTTACATGCATTCACTTTGAATTCTAATTGGTCATTCATGCTGTTAAGTGTGTGCTGATTGGTCGGATTAATCGTATTTAGTGTTGTTGGAAGCTTCTAACTCTCAGTTGAGGTGAACAAAGACTCTAGGCCGAAAGCTGAGAAAATAAGCTAACAACCCTTTTTTTCTTACGTCCATGCATATGTTGAGTGCATTTCAGAGGTTAAATATGTCGTTGAAGCCTCGCAAACGACATTGCTACCTGTTTCGAATTGGTGCACGAATTTTGATTAGTCTTGCGTGATTCTAATCGATAAGTATCGGAGGGATGCATTTTTGACTATACCCAAATGCACGTTGTTTGCTTGTGTGAGTTCAAGGTCCTAATGGTAGATGTACCTCAAATAAAATCGCTAATGGATTATCGTTGTGGTCTTTATTCATTTTTCATCTGAGACGAGAAGCACAATAGGCCACGTAGGAACAAACCGATAAGACCAAGAAACCCGCGCACAGCGGAGCAGACACGCGAGACTTTCTTGCGCGCGAGGTTTTGTATCCGTCTCCAACCTTGCGTGCTGGAGTTGGATCGCGTGTAAAACAATGCATTAACTTTTAAACTCAGCTGGAGGGGGAGGGAGTGGTATCATATTCCTTGCTTTGGTGAAAAAAGCTGTATTTTCTTCAATTAACCTCCCCAATGCAAGAAGTATTACAAGAAGCATGAGCAGATTAAAAAAAAAAAAACACTCCCCAGGGGATTAGAAAATAGCTATTGCCAAGGGAGGGGTGGAGGGATCGCATGGTTTTCAGGGCGAAGGGGGGGAGATCAGTCGTCTCCAGAGTTTCTCGCATGCTTCCTCCAACCCCAAGGGGGATAAATAATGACTATTCCATAACTGGTTTGTTTTCTCTTGCAGAAGAGCATTGATATGAGACGTGAGATAATTGTTCTGCTAATGACATGCCTGATTCTCTTTTCATTTGACAAGAGGTTTGTCTCCAGAATAAGGAGCGATTTTTAGTTTTAGCAATACTGAGTGATATTATAATAAAAAAAATTGATAAATAAAAACCATTAAAACCAGATAATATAATGTGACTTATTAATCAGACCTCGTTAAATAGCTGGCTGCGTTTCGGTTCTTGATAAAGAAAGTAGCATGTACATTATGTTTGTCTGAGCTTGTAGGGGAAAAATATAAACGTTTCATGATCGAGAGGAAAAACAGATACTTCACTAATATATAGATTTAGCCAAGCCTAAAAGCGGAGCTCGCATTTCTTTTTTCCCGCACGTCTTATGGGCACAACGCCTTGCCCCGGCTAGGACTAGAACCCGGGTCGACCGACTCGGAGCTCAGTGAACTAACCACTTGACTACTGGACAAAACCGTGGCATGATGTGATGTGTCAACTTGATCTGGGAAAATTTTCATTTCTAGAATGAAATTCCCCCACAGCCGATATCAATGTCTATGTACTCTAATATTAATAAGGCTATTTCTGAAACAAAAATAGGAACGCTTACTGGAATAGAGGCATTTTCTGGTGTAAGGGCCCTTATTGGAATGAGGGTGCTTACTCCACTGGGATGTTTGTTAGAATAGGGGCGCTTGTTAGCAAAAACTTTTTTTAAGTGGGAGGGGGGGCGCTTATTAGGGAGGGGGCACTTATTGGAACGGAGAGCACCAAATCGAGTCACCACGGTATTTTACTAATTTCTGTCGGAGAGGCGGCGGTGCTGTTTGGAGGGTTGGGGGAAGGAGACCTCGATATTATGCTAAGCCAAGCGCGCCTGAATCTCCCGTAGTTCATTGCCACAAGAAAACTTCTTTGCAATCTCGGTAGTGTTCAATGCGTCTATAATCGATATGTGACAATGCATAAATAGAGAAATGTTCAGAGACATTCTTGCATCGTGTCATTTCGTTCAGCGCAATCCTGACGAAATTATTGCGCATAAATTACGAGATTCAATGTTTGCCAAGCCAATCTATGCTGCGGTTACGACTATCTCTACAACGAAGCATATAAGGGAAAGAAGGTGGGGGTGTGGGGGGAGTGGGGCCCCGAAGACTTCTTACTCAAGGTAAAGGGAATGGTTAAAGCAGGAGCCCTTCCTGTTAAAGAGAGTAAAAAAATGAAAATGTGAAAACAGTCTTATAGAGGCAATGGTCTATCTACATAGCTTTTTAGAACAGCAAAAGGAATCTAAGATGAACGGAACAAGAAGCCTGCTGTTTGAGCTTTCAGTGGTTAAATGCCATCCATTCCAAACGTTTCTTGAATATCTTCTCCGTTCGAATTCGCCCGCCGGATGGTCGCGTGATAGAATGATAGGCCAAACAGAAAATCTATTCGCCTACCTTCCAAATAAAAGATATTCCACAAATACTTAAGTAGAAATGGGAAATTTTAAAGCATTTCCCGTTTTATTATTAAATCGCTAACGTGATCGTTTTAGTCTTGCCAAAGAGCATGTGATTTTCCTAGAAAGTGCAGAAGCTCAAATTAGCAGTGACGTCATGTTAGAGAAAATGGCCAGGCTCCTTAGCTTGGCAGAGCGCGAACGAAGGAGCGGATTTGCAGGCAGGTGTGTATGGACTGTAGTGTGCTGGAACATATTTGATCACTTGTTCTTCTCTTGTCCAAAATGAACATGAAGCCAAATATCGAGATTCTGAAGGAACCTAAAGGGTTCATTAAAGGCATTGAGCTGGTGAGTTTGCGTCAAGATTGTGCCTTGTGGCGCTTAATAGATAATACCTTGTACTCTTTAGTATTGGTTGCAAATTGCTACACTGAAATCGCCGTTATTTTAGCGTTAAGTACTTTCATTTTCGAACTGTCAGCCGTAAAGGTGCACGGTTGTCCTATGTTCAGTCAGTATGGCACAATCCGTGGTTAATGCATGTCGAAAACTCATGAAAAATGTCTGATATGAGCTTAATTTTCAATATATACGCCGCCTGTGATCGTGACCTATTGAGTCTTATTTATGAACCTCGACGACAATCAGTTTCGGGCACAAGTCACAAAGTGTACATTTTTATAGTTCAGTCATGATGCAAAAGCTAAATTTGTACTTGTTAACGTTTGCATGGAGATATGTTTTACGTAAAGTAGAATTGAATTTAAGCTGATCAAGGTTTTAACTTCTATACAGTAAAGCCAGCATCGTAGTGAAAAACAAAAACCGATATACACATTTAAGTGTAAGCCGTAAAGATAGGGGTTCAATTTCTCCTTTTTATGGGTATGGTCAAGTTTGATTCTAAAATACCCTGAAAAACCCGAATTTCTCGGAAAAACAGCGCGCCCTATAACCGAAAAACTACGGTTATTGTAATAGTAAGAAGTATTTGAATCATGAATGAAAGTGGATTGCAGCATGGCCTAAAAAATCTTTGTGATATGATTTATCTGTCACTGTTTTGATCAGGAGAGTCCGCGATAAGAAACTGACAATTAAAGACCTGAAGAAAACCATAATGGCAGTAGCCACTAGAACATGGCACAAATGAAGGTTTCCAGAGCAAAACAAGAGCTCAGCATATGTGCTTTGTTCACTTCCTATCCATCCTCCAATGTCAATGTCTGGTCAGATAAAGTTACTCAAATATGTCCTAGAATGCTGAAGCATGCTTCCCAACCCACCCTCCCCTTCCCTACCCTCCAGAAGGACATGTTGCAAAGCCACATGCCATTCTGGTTCATTTTTCTCCCTATTTTGAGCACAACAGGTGAAGGAAATTTTTCAAAACCAGTCGAGCCACCCTTTTACCTGTTAAATTTTCCAGTATATTCCTACAATTTGCAGCATTGTTGCTGCAAGTTGTCGAAATTTCACTTCATCAGTTCCTCAAAGCTAGCTTGCTCTTAGGTGCTCCTTTTCCCTTTTTGATAGAGAGTCATTCAGGAACTTCAAGATGTTAATTACAGGCAGTAAATTTACTGGTTACTGCCTGAAACATGAGGGGACGCAAGCAGCCTCAACTGTAAGTACTTTTTAGAAATGCCAGGATATTATCCTAGCATTCCTAACATTCCAAGCTGTGCGAGAGTGTCAGAATCCGTGCATATGTCACAGAAATGTCACTAGACCCAAAGTACACCAGATGAGGGCGAACAAATCATGTGGATATATTTCTCTTTATAATCTACAATGTAACGCAAAGGAACTGGCTAAGGAATAAAGGCACTATTGATTGCGTGTGAAACAAAAGCATTAGCAGATGAATTTTGATATCAGGCATTATTTCATTTATCTTCTCATATTTATTTGCTCTCATCTGGCGTACTTTAGGTCCAGTGACATTTCTGACATACGCACGGATTGACACCCTCGCACAGCTCAGAATGTTAAGAATGCTAGGATAATAACCTAGCATTTCTAAAAAGTACTTACAGTTAAGGCCTCTTGCGTCGCCTCATGGGTGAACACTGCTTGCTGTGCAAGCACAATTAAATTACGCTGTCTACCCAGTTCAGATCATGCATCCATTACATTTTCCAAAGACAACCCTATTGTGGCCAGAAGCTCTGTCCCTCTGACTGCTTTGCACACTTCAGTTGCCCTTTTCCTCTGACCTTTTCCTCTTCTTTTCATCCAGGTCATCACCATATTTGCCTTTGCCACGGTGGCTGGTTTTATAGGTCAGGCTGAATTTAAACTTAATTGCATAGGAGTATCAAAGACACGACAAGTTTCTGTGGATTTTTACTACCCGTTCAGTGAGATGAAAGTATATGTCTCAAAGAACGAGCTCTGCATAAATGACACCGAAATCAAGCCATATACAATGGAATTGAAATACAAGTCTGAGGCAGAGTACATTGTCTTCACTGGTGTAGTGTCCATGTTGTTCGTCATTGTGGCTCTTTTTTACTACACCTTTTTTGAAGATCGAGCCAAAGAAGCCACCTCAACTGATGTTGGTTATTTTTCGTTTCCAGTTGTGGTAAGCTTAATCACGATTAGGTCACTTTAATCCTTTCACTCCCCTGATCTCTTTCGTAATTCTTCTTACTGTCTGCCATACATTGCTTATAATTTTAGTTTGTAGAATTTGGTATTGAATCAAATGATAATCCACTAATTGATATTTTTCTATATTCTCATCACTTGTCCACTTGAGACTGTATTGATATTGTGAGGAGAAATTCTGTCTTGGTTACTACTGAGAGTGAAAGGGTTAATCCTCTACGCTCTAATGTCAGTATGCATATTCTGGATACTGTTCTCTATACATTTCCTGAGGTCCTGACAAGGATTAATTTTTTTTACTGTCCAGAGCTGCTTTCGTTGGTGATTATTTCAAGTACGGCTAACTTGAAAGACAGAAAATTAGCATTTTTGAACCAATCTTAACATCAATGTCCAGCTAAATAAAGGTACTCAAAAAATGTCCAGAAATCATAGCTTAGAGGGTCTAAATTTTGCAACATGCTATGTTTGCTGTATGAGCATAATTGAATTCAAGTGCCTCCTCAGTTCAGATCTTAAACCTGTTACATTTTCCAATGACAACCTTGTTGTGTAGGAATTGGTGGACTCTGGGTTAGATAGTCCAGGTTTTAGCAGAAGCTAAGACTATGGAGTTGACGCAAGAACTGAGTGGCCAAGACAGCATTTCTCCTCATAACATTAATACAATATCAAGCAGACAAGTGATGGGAATAAAGAAAAATATTAATTAGGGGATTATTAATTGATCCAATACCAAATTCTCCAAACTTACATCACAACAGCTATATGGTAGACAGTAAGGAGAAATACTAACAAGATCTTGGAGGTGAAAGGGTAAAGTGCTGGTTGTTACTAACTTATAATGGACCAGTGTGAAACTTTGTTAGAATTATTCACAGTCAGTGAAGTTGACATCGTGTGTTTTTGCACTGTGGTTCTTAATTAGGTGTAAGATTTTAATCTTGTATGATTATATAACACCATGTTTCCTCAAATAGGCACCTGCATGCTTATTTAAAATTTTGGGCTAAAAGGTGGGGCACTTATTGGAAGAGGGGGTGCTTCTTATTCTCTTGTACTAATCCCATTGTAGTTGACACTTAAAGAGTTATAAATAAAGTGGCGATAGAGCCATGTTTTCTTTGTGTCCATGCTTAATCAAGGGGGGTGCTTGTCCGACCAACATCATGAACTTGTAGGAAAGAGGTTGTTAAAGCATGTGAGCTAATTTGATGAAATATGGTATTTTCAACAACCCGTTAACTCCCATGAGTGACCAAGACAGAATTTCTCCTTACAATACCAATACAATTTCAACCAGATAAGAGATGAGAATAAAGAAAAATATCAATTTGGGGATAATAAGTTGATCCAATATTAAATTCTCTGAACTAAAAATAATAAGAATTGTATGGCTGACAGTAAGGAGAATTACAAATTTGATCAAGGGGTCATAAGGTTAAGGACAATTATTTTTGACACTCTGGATTTTACAAGTGATTCATGATAATGCTCAAAGGCTTTGTTCTTCTTCCTTGTGTGTAGGATTTTGTCTTTACTGTTGTCCTGGTCATCTTTTGGTTTACCAGCTCCATCGCATGGGCAGCTGCATTGTCTGGGCTTAAAGATGCTACAAGCGAGACAACTCTATTTGACACAGTTGCACTTTGTAAGGTTCAAGGCTGTCAATCATTCAATGGAGCACGATATGGATCTGCTACTGTGGCTGTGGTAAGTAATTAACCTCTTATACTCCAAAATCTATACAGGTATTCACTGTTAAGTTCTCATAACCCTTTATCTCCTGTGAGTGACTAAGATAGAATTTCTCCTCACAATATCAATACAATTCTCTTCATGAGAATAAAGAAAAATTTTAATGAGGGGATTATTAGTTTATCCAATACTACATTCTCCAAACCCACATCAGAAGAACTATATGGCAGACAGTAAGGAGTATTACTAATGAGATCTTGGGAGTTAAAGGGTTAACATTTCCAGTACTCATGACAGAGAGAATTTATTTAAAAATCAGGAATGATACTGTTAGGAGATATAAGATGTTTGTAAAACATCAATTAAGGAATTACTAGTTGATTCATAACAATTGTGTAGCAGACAGTAAGGAGGATTATTAGTTAAACTATGTTTTATATTACAGGTCTTTGGATTCCTCAACTTTTTTGTCTGGGGTGGCAATCTGTGGTTCCTTTTTAAAGAAACACCATGGCATAGTCCTCGCACTTCTGGAAAAGGTGCAGAGAGTGTACCTCAGGAGCCTCCACGACAAGACATTCCCTCTGCTCCAGAAATTTAATCTCTTTTCTCAGCACTGCAAGGTATGTTTTGTTCTGTTGAAATACTGTTGGAGCTGTGAGCTGTAGAGCAGCTTACTTAACTCTTTACTCCTCTACATCAGTATCTGTATTCTCCAAGCTTTCTCCTAATATTTCCTTTGGCACTGACAAGGAGAATTTGTTTTACAATCAAAGCTTTTTAGGTTGGTGATCATTTCCTGTATTCTCATGATCTAAATGAATGATTCAGCAGTGTTTCTGAAGGGAGAAATTAGAAGCTGGTCACTAGTAGGGTTTAAGGGGTTAAATATTGATAAATAAGTGGATACAATCACTTAGAAGTTTTGATTGTGCTCATAAAATTTACTTTTTCTGTTCCTTGAAAATGTGTTAAACTTGAAAGCCTTGGAAGATATATGTAAGGTTCAGTTTCCAAACTTCTGATTCAAACAACAATATACATGCTCATACTTAAGAATGGTTATATAATGTTATTTACTGGGCAGGATATCTAGAAGGAAAAAAGAGCTGAGGGCCCAGAGCACAGTTTTTTTGGCCATACAAAAACAACCCAGACCTGGAACATTTTTATTTTTCTGCTGGTTTGCTTCAATCCACTTTGCCAGGAATGACACAAAAATTTGGAACCATGGTCTGTATTGTGAAAAGCTGGGCCAATTACCTGCACCTTATTTGAGCATTTAAGATTCTGGCCTCCTGAGATACTTTGGAAAAAAAGAGTTTCCAGTTTTTATTGTCTAATCAGTTTTTGTATTTTTGATTGCAGATAATTTGTCTTCGTGTATTACTCTGTCATCAGGCATTCGTCATAAAACATGTTTTGGATAATACTTTTGAAACTTTACTACTTAGTCAGTTTTGAAGTTAAAGGGTTTTTGTAGACTATTTTGGTCTGTAAAGTGATTGACATAGCTGCTGTTATATGTCAATTAATATGCAGTTATTGACTGAGGTAAAGGTCCTGATAAAAATAAATATATGTCTATATTATTAACCAAGCTTGAGGTTCATGTGGAGAAAATCTGTGCCCAAGGTTTTGAGTGCCTTGCAAGGCTTATGGCAGAGGGTCATACTCAAGACCAAGGGTCATACTCAAGACCAAGCACAGCTGTTTCCCCCTATAGAATGACCAAGTCCAACTTTTTTTAACTGTGGGATTTCTTTTTCCTGTTTGGCAGTGGAAAAAATTCTGGATTATGGTCTTTAAGGCAGGAACACTTATGACTAACCAATCTAATTCGAGGATTTAAGATTCCGGCCCACAAAGATGCTTTAGCCAAAAAAATAAATTGGTGTAACTTTGGAACTAAGATAAACAAAACACCTTTGTAACAAAATCCTATCCCAGAGAAAAGGAATCCTTTTGTTCATTAATTTGATATATATCTTAGATCCATGTGTTAACTTTGAACATAAACTGAACGCTTTACATCACTAAGGTTCTTAGGTTCTTACTTAAAAATGCAAGTAATTTCCCTTTTTTTTGTAAGAGAGAATCTAATGTCAGGTTACATTTGATGTGAAATGTTCATCACGTTTTCAACCATTTAAATCTCATTCTATAATTTTTTTTTTGTTTTGTTTACTATTTGAAATATTATTTACTTGTTTCTTGTCAAAATGCTTTGTTTGCCTTTTCCAAGAAAGTAACTCATAGAGAAAACAGAGCAAAAGATAATGCAGCTTTTCAAAGTACATATTATGTCAGTATTGCCAGTTTATTTCTGGAATGCTGACGGTATTTTGATATTAATTTCCACCCAGATTGCATTTTGATTATTATCTGGAAAATTGGGACCTATCTTAAAACATTTTTTTTGGACGACTGCCTTGGGCTTCTGAAGCAAGGTTTATACATTTTACTGGGTTGTGTTAAAATTTAATTGTCCTAGCACCTATTTAAGATTTTCTCTTTTATTTACCCTTTAACTCCCATGAGTGACCAAGACTGAATTTCTCCTTACAATATCAATACAATATCAACCAGATAAGTAATGAGAATAAAGAAAAATATCAATTTGGGGATAATTAGCTGATCCAATACTAAATTCTCTGAACTAACATTATAAGAATTTTATGGCTGACAATAAGGAGAATAACAAACTTGGTCTGGGAGTTGAAGGGTTAAAGTGAATCAAGGAGAGTTGTTTCTGACAAATTATGTATTTTTTAGTCAGAACTCCTTAAATTTAATATTATGCTTTTTTTGTTTTTGTATCTTTTTATGTTAAGTGTTTTGACGACTCACTGTAAATCAATACCTAGAAATAGGAGAAGAGAAAACTTGAGTTTTTATTCCTTAATATTTTCATCCAGAACACCTCAGTAGAACTGGGAAAAACTTCCACCAATACTGCATTACAAACTCTTCATGTCATTGGTAAATGAGTGTATACTGTATGGTGTAGTAACATGAGGTGTGCATCTCCAAGTTACATTTTTTGGTGGTGGTAGTTTTTTCTTTGTAATACACTTGGGTGATATTATAATGATCTTTTGCTGTACATCAGCAAGAGTATTTTTAAAATGAAATTCTTCATATTCTAGCTTAATCCTTTTGCTCTTATCCATATATTTAGCTTATTTGAGTAGAAAGTGTGGAGAAGAATGCAGTAGTATACTAATTATTTCTTTTCTTTGTATTTTGATCTTTTGATTATTTAGCAGTAGTTACAAACCTTACTTAAATATAACTTGGATTATGATTTGAACATTTTTGTTCCCAGGGTCTCTCACCTCACTGCCCCCAAAAGGTGAGAGAGAATGGGACCAATATTGTTATTTGGAGAGAAATATTAAAAATTGGATTAATTCAAAAAGTGATTGATTTTCGTGTAAATTGAAAATTTCATGGATATGATAAGTTTGGCATTTTTTTTTCATGACTAGAAAAGCAGCATTTGCTCTGTAAGTTTTGAAACTTGATGGTGAAAATTCACTTTTACTAACTGGATGGAATTTACTGCATCACGCAGCTTTATTCAAGAGAAACATTCTGTTACTCCATAATGAGATAAATGTTGCCATAGAGCCTTCCGTTAACCCTTAAACTCTCATGAGTGACCAAGACAGAATTTCTCCTTACAATATCAATTCAATATCAACCAGATAAGTGATGAGAATAAAGAAAATATCAATTTGGGGATAATTAGTTGATCCAATACTAAATTCTCTTAACTCACATGATAAGAATTGTATGGTTGGTAGTAAGGAGAATTACAAATTTTATCTGGGCGTTCAAGGGTTAAGGGTCATGGCAAACTCGTAACCATCATTAACTGAAATCAGGCTAATATTTGTAAGCAAGTTAATTTTTTTTTTTTAAATACTGTATGTTATAGATGCTTAAATTTGTGTATTCAAATATATTCATGCAGTGATATTGATGAACTTGTGTGTTTTGTTTGTTATTTTTGTTTGTGCAGAAATGTGATGGGAACGAGTTTATCCGTCAAAAGCCAGCGACAGACCTGGCGATTTTCGGCGATCGTAGCGATCGGCCAAAATCGCCAGGTGTGCCCGGTGGGGCGATTGCGATTTTCGCCGATCGCCGGCTTAAGCAATGTGCGCGATGGTGTGCACGTCCTCGTATCCGATGATTCATTCCATTGAATATACAATGACACAACTAACACTTTTGACGCACGTTTTGTTTGCACTCAGTTTTCCCTGAAACATCATCAAAAAGCAACGTAAACAACCTTAGCCTGTGAGCAAGCTTTCATTCTTAGCGTGTTTCTTCGCACGCGGGAGGATTGGAGACGGGTAGGGGAGGGGTTTGTTGGAGGCCTGGCACTAATAATACTGCACCTCTTGCAGACCAATTGTTGTGCACACCTCTTCCCGGCTTTCATTCCTCAAAGCCTCGTACTTTCCCGCGGGCGAAGAAATGCTCGCGCCGAACCGCTTTTAACGAGGGCTTGCTCGTGGGCTAAAACAACCTCTTCAGGAACCTGACGTCACAGACATTTATGACATCACAACAACAAATCAATTATTGAAGTGTATTTCAGGTGCCTAAAATCGTTTTGTCGCACCTAAACAAATTTCTTGCATCCTTCCATACAGATCATTTTCAAACTATTGGAAACTGACGAAAACGTTATATTCTCATACGAGAAATAGCTTATTACCAGCACGCAAATTAAGGTAAGTTTGACTCAATTAGTGACATCCTTTTATCAAATCTTGAGGTCGATTGTGTCTTGGCTTTTCTTCATTATTAATAGAAAGAAAGTCTTTTTCTCTCTTCGTTCGATGATAATTTAATTTTGAGAAAAACTATTGGTACCTTGGAAAAAAAATTGACTTTGTTTGGCGTTAAACTCTCTCGTCTCGCCGCATTTTGTCGCAAAATTGCGAGTGACTTCGGCATAATTGCAAAGCAGACTGCGACCTTTTTAAGTTTATCTTTAACTGACAAGCTACAGAGCAAGTTCTAGCGCGATCTCAGTACGCAACAGCTTTAGCGCAAGATCAAAGACTATTTGAAAATCTAAAGAAAAACAAGCAATTATGAAGTGGTAAGTACGTTCAGTTGTTTTTAGTAGCCAGTTTGAATCTGCCATAATAATCGTAATACCGCGGTTTCAGTCTCGACAATCATCAGTCAGAAATTAGTGCTCTATACTTCAAGAGCTTTCAGAAGTATCCTGGTCACGGTTACTAGCAGTCCTTGGCCGAGGAGATAGTTATCTATAAAAAATTTGCACGGTTGAAATGCCCAAAAAGTTAAGTTGAAATTAAACTAAACATTTTTATACTCAAAAAAAATCAATCACGGGTGAATTAAGGTATGCACTATCGCATAATACTTTGCAAGCTTGGTCATCAAAACAAAGTTGGAGATTTTTTTTCTTTTCCCAATCATGTTTTCCAGGTGAAGGTTTTTATGCTTCTGATTTACATGACGAAGATGTTTATTCATTTCAGCACTTAATTTGGTTGAATAGAAATCTAAAATTTGTGGCTTATATCGATGAATACTGAATTAAGGACATATGGACTTATTCTTGAACAATTCATATTGGTCAAACCTAATTGAACAGTCATTTTGCACATGAACAAGCTCAAAATTTACATAAAGGTGCATACTTGATCACTGCGAAAAAAAAAAAAGTGGGTTTTTGCCGAAGTCAAATTGTCGGAGTCGTTTTGAAGGAAAACCAACTTAATTCTCTCGCACTACAAAAGTTCAGTGAGTGAAGTTTCTGTTCTTGTTACCGAAAAAAGAAACAGGAAAAAAGATTCTGCGGTTTTTATGTTAAAAAACCGAGCTAATTTCTAAGGACTTCATCATGCCAAAAATATAAGGGTGTAACTTAGATCTACGCGGTCGTTGAAACATTTAAGCATAACGAACTTTTTGGAAAGGTTTGCTGGATAGAAAGTGCATTAATTTCTTACTTTTAAGTTACAAAATAATTTATTTTAGAATAATTAAACGTTTTGCTAGGTAACGAAGTACTTTATGTTTAAGGTTCCCTAAGATCATACAGGTACATTTTTTTGTGACTTCGAACGCTGTAAACACCCAGAAATATGAATGTAAAATAAGTCTTTGACGTAAATAATTTCTTTAAGAGTGAAATTTAAGGATCACGATGTTCAATCAGTTTAGCTTGATGAAAACAGAACGCAAGGAGTGAATAGTAAATGTATACGTTACATTACGATACAAAACGCTTGTGTCTTCTTTTGAGTGTTGCGTTTCATTTTGCGAATAAATTTTACAGTTTGCGTTTTCTCCTTAACATAAAAGCCTCCCTCTAGATCTCAGCAAAAAGGAAGAAGAGCCGGGGATTTTAATTTGATTTGAAAATATACTGCATCTTTATTATTACGCTCTCCTAAGGGCCGCAGCCGTAGTAAAAAAAATGTCTTTGGAATCTTTTAGGGATTGAACTTTGGTGAGGATCGACACCCGGCCTCCTGACCAAAAAAAAGTAATATCATTTTCATAACCCATAGGTCATAAGAATTGAGGAAATGTTCGCATACTCAACAAGCTTTTGATTGTTAGACAAGTTCCATACTTAACAGGAAACAGTAGGGAGAACTTGCATACTGATGTTCGGGTAAAAGGATTAAAAGATATGCTTGAACTGTTTTCAAAAACTAATAAAAAATAGCTCTTAAAACAAATAGCATTTGGGTGTGAAATGGCGATGCGTTCTTAATTTTATTTTTCACTTTTTTCTTCAGATTCTCACATTGAAGCTGTATATCCACTTTCATAAATGCAACATGTTTCGGTAGAATTTCCTTTCGGTCTCAAAAGCAGGCGAGTGCACTGGGTACCACCACTAGAGGATAGCAAGGCAAGGTTACTCAGTTTGGCAAGTACCATTTATTTTTTAGAACCGAGATATTTCCTCTAAGAAGTGCCTCTCTCGAATAAGCGCCCCCCTCCCTTGCTTTCCTAATAGTAGGGATTCGAGGAAAACCTGTTTCTATTCCCACTTTATTTGCAACTTTTTGAGCTTCATCTACAGTAAAATCAGTACTGAAGAGTAATAAGCACCGGTGCGCTTATTTAAAATTTCCGCCGAAAGGAAGGGTGCTTATTGGAAGGAGAGCACCACATCGCGGGGGGGAGGCCTTCTTATTTTCCTGTAATGATTCTGCTTTTCCAGGGAATACGGTAATACCCTTTCGTGAAAAGTCACGCCGTTTGTTAGCAGCGGTTTATGGTTTCATTTGAATGAAAACAAAAGAAATACTGAAAGAAAAAACAATGGGATAGAGAGGAAAAATCGAGCTTTCGCTTAAATAGTTTAATTCAGGTGAAGTTTGTCAACTTCATCCCTCTCATGAGGGTCTCAGAGGGGTTAACCATTAGCCGTAAAACGGCCAAAAAAAATTTCCGTTAGGCGTAAAAATCGACAAATCTTTAGCGTTAGTCGCAAAAAAAGTTAAGCTTAAAAAATATTTTTTTGGTGACTACAATGGAAAGGTATTAACTGTTAGCCATAAATTGGCCTTAATTCTAACCGTTAACCGTAAAAACCATCACCCGATTACAACCCTCTTTGATTCAAAATTAATTTCTCCTTACAATATTAACCAACTTTCAAATTCAAAGGTGATGAGAATAGTGAGAAATATCAACTAGGGGATAAATACTTCATGTAACACCAAATTCTCAGATCTGACTCTATTACAGAGTCTTCAGAGGTATGACTGACCGTAAGGAGAATTACTGATACGATCTTGGAAGTAAAAAGGTTGAATTTGCAAGTTGTGCATTAACTAGTGAACATCATCTGATCTAACACCAAATTCTCAGAGATAAAGTTGTAAGCAGTATAAGGCGGACAGTGGGGAGAACTGATATTGAGATCTAGGGAATTAGAGTGTTAGTAAGTCTGTTTTCTCAGAGGTTCTCGCTTCTGTTCCACGGCTTAGGAATCCATGGACTAGAACGAACTTTAGAACAATTCTCACGTCACGTATGCTTTAGACAGAATTTCACGCGTCACGAATTAGGAAAACATCTGTCTTTATGTTCGAGGTTTCAGGACTTTCAGGGAAATCTTGAGAATTTACCAAATGAAAGAAATACAATTACGGGTTACATATATTCACCTTCTATGCAGGACTTCATTCAATCACAGTGAACCTTTAATTTACAAACAGTCTGTGTTGTGTCCAAAATTTCCATAATTTGCAAAAAATAAAGGAAAAGAAATTGTGAAATCACAAACAGAAGGTGTCACTTACCTGTTCAGTTTATATTAGTATGTCAACTTTAAATCCAGATTAGAAAAAAAAAACAACACCACACAAGGCACATTCATTACAACTAATTTCAGATGGAGAGGAAAGCTTTTTCAGCAATGGCGAAGGAAAACAAAAAGAAATCGCTTATATCTTCATTTTAACCCTCCGCTGAATTAGCGTCAAGATTTTTAGAAGAATCGATCGAACGCGACAAAAATCGTTCCAAAATTCACCGTAATTAAACCACAAATGTGTAAATGTCAGATTTTGCATGTGCCACAAAGAACTACAAACACTCATAGAAACCACTTTAAAGCCAACAACATCCATTATTCCTAAGCTTTTGATAAACACGGTCTAATTAGAATTGACATAGTTGACTAGACGTGGTTATTTTTATGCAAACAAGTTTTCTCCATCATTTGAGCTTTCGAGATTCACCGACTTTGAAATTTACGACCAATTGCCGAATTCTTTAAAGCAATACTGAAGTGATGAGATGCCTTTGCCATTTGGGTAAATATTATTAAAACGACGTAAATTTGTAATTGTTTTCTATCACAAAAGACTACTCCGAGGCCTCAAACGGTGCGGAGTACTTAGGACCGCTTAATCAAAGTTGCTATGGAAACGTTTCCAAAATGGCGTTCAATACTGGCTGATAAACAAACGGAGGGCTAATTCCTCCTAAGGATGGATATGTTAGACTACTGCAAGACTTATAATATGGTAAAGAGCAGTTATGCTAACCAAGAATCTACTGATTTATCCTCTCAGGAAGCTCGACAACTCGGCAGTTCGCAGAAGAATCACGAGAGTAATGATGGCAATATCTTAGGGGAGGCTGTTGAGAGTTTTTCAACAAAACCTGGGGATTTATCCCATTATGGGCCAGCTACACAGATCGTCAAGGACGTAAGCAATTCTGGGGAGAAGAAACTTAGCCCTTTGAAAGAGGTAGCAAGGAAAAAAGGAATGATCTCGACGCTAAATACAAAGACTCAACAAAGACTGAACTTTGAATGTGAACTGACTTTTGCCCCGAAACTGAATGCATTGAGTATAAAACTGGCGAAAGAACGCGGCGAAAAGGTCCGATCTAGCTCTGACAAAAAGACGTATTACGCGGCAGATGAGTTTACTTTTAAACCTAAAGTTAGTTCAAACAGTGTGAAAATCGTACAGCAGTTAAAAACAACGTTTATGGACCGACAGCAAATGCATGTGGAGAGACAGAAGCGCTATGTGAGTACATATTTGATTTTTTGCACTGTTCAGTTTTGTTTAGAGCTGATTACTTCTAATTAACCAGCCTGTAACAAGTACACAAAATGAACATAAAATGTCTCCAAAAAGCCCCATATGGGGCAGTAGTAATCATTGAATGCAATTTGAAGTGTGAAATCTTAAAGACTCGTGATTTACACTTGAAATGCACCAGACTGTGACTAGATTGAGTGTTGGTCGGAATGATGACTGCCTAAATGTCGCGTTTAAGTTGTTTAACAAAACAAGAAATATTTGATATGTTAAGTGCACATCTCCAAAAGCAACCTTGTCATTATTAAACACTCAAATCTTGCAAATTGTCTTCTTTTTGGAGACGCCAAAAATTTGCATATTTTTAATTAATCTCAACTAAATGCAATATCAGAATGATTATATCTGATTCAATCTTTCATATGTTTCGAATTTCAGGTAATATTTATGCACACAATACATGTTTCAAACAAAGAAATTTGTCAGGGTTGATCATATTTTGTTGAATTATAGGAACTTGGAATCAAGAACATAATTTAACCATCAGTCTGACAGATAAACCCTACTCCTCAAAGGAATTAACCACTTACTCCATATGTTGATGGGAGGTTCAGATGCCATCAC